CATACCTCCTGAAGCAGCCTGCAAGGGAGGGTGCATGGCTACCCAGTGTAAGGGAAAGTGCGTTACTACCCAACCACTCATTTCTGGCTCAGGTGGCAGAGCGGCCAGACTGTTAAGTACGCAACTATCGCTGCGAGGGTACGGAGGGTAAAGAGATGGAGACGTTTTTCGTGAGATATTTCCCTGGTAGACAGCTATTATCCCGTTTTGGGCTAGGCGAAGCCATGACTACTGTTATCCTTGAACGATAATCTTAGCAAACCGCCGCCACGTTCAATTGAAGTGAGCAGTCACGGCCTGCCCATCTCAAGGAACTGGAATGTATTTGAAAAAATTGGAATCGGCACTCAACGCAGCTATCGCCGGAACGCCCCCCCCCCTTGCATGCGATGTGGATTGTATACAGCAGGTTACTAGGACAGGTGGTCTTTTTAGCCTAAAGGAAGAGCTGCTATGAAAGTGGAACCGTTAATGAAGAGTAAAGACGATGAAATTCTTAAAATGGAAATTTTCGTGCTGAAGAAAATTCAAAAGTAAGGAGTTTTGATCGGCTGTGTTCTACCTTCATTAAACAACATCAGGCACACTTCAAGCTATTCATTCCGAAAGAGCCTTAGCTGCAGTTTTTCTAAGCCCATGGGTCCTTCGACCCATATGAACCTATATGAGCAGCTCCCAATGGATTCTCCGTGCTCGTTGAGGCATGTGATGAATCACACCATTCGTTCAGAGCTTACACGAAGCAGTCTTTGAACACCTGAACGACCACTCACCACCGCGTATGTAAGCGTTCGTCCAAATATTCGTTGGATCCAGTCGAGATTGGCTCTGGTCTAACGGTAGTCTTTGAAACGCGTGGCGCACCTGGCCCACCTGTGACCCTGTTGGAACCCCCTCTTCACGTTGGTGATGATCTCCTTGTAGAATGGCGAGATCTTCGTCGTGAATTCTCTGTAGAGCAAAGGGTCCCGGTCTGGTGAGCAGGAACACCCTAGTTGCCCAGGGCTTCGATGACCGGTTCTGTCTCAACGGTCGAAGGCATTTTTCTTTCATTTTTCGATGAGCTTCGTTACCGTGTGGATGTGATCGATCGTGCTGAATCCTCTTCGAAACCCTGCTTGCTCGCATGGCTGTCCTTCGTCTAGTGTTCTGCCAATCCTGTTCAGGATGACTCGTGTGAAAAGTTTGTAGACTACAGACAGCAGGCAGATTGGGCGATAATCTCCGATTTCACTCTTCACTCTCCACTCTTCACTCTCAGGTCTCACTTCTTGTACAGCAACACAGTCTTGCTGGTTTTCCACGAAGTGGGTACCTTGCATTCCGACAGGTAGCGCGAGAAGAGTCGAGCCAGAGTTTTGACGAGAATCGGCCGAAGTTCTTCCGGGTATGATCCTGTCGGGACCTGGGTGCCGTACGATTCTTCACCGACGAAATGGCGTATCGGACTTTGGAAGGGAGAACTGAAGAAAGGGAGTAGAAGACCTGGATGACCTTTTCCATTGCCCTTCGAGACGTACTAGTTGTTCCGCCGTATGTTGAAGACCGATCATCTTGGTCTTACAGCTGGCGAAATCGCTGTGGGTGTGCGCATCTTCGCAAAATTGATCTTCATGGCCAAGTGTGTGATGAAGAGGACACCCACACCGCCAACGTCTCTGCTGTCGCATGTTCCAAGGAACAGTTCTTCTCCGGCAGTCTCGTTTACGGAATTGGGGCGGAACGCGTTTTCTCGTCCCGGTGCAGTCCATCGACGGTCTTAGGCTCAGTCCACGCAGACCGTCTCCTCGGAGACAGACGACCATTAGTGACTAGCCCTCACAAGTGACGCAGCCATTTTATATTACGCGTCAAACTCCCAAGAGGCGCACAAGGAGCAGAGTGGTCCCCCGTCTTTTCCGTTATGATTAGCGTGAACTGCTCCCTCAGGTTGTACAAGAATCGCTCGAGACAAAGAACAACTAACTTGAACTTTCGAACTAATACGAACTTATCTGCTGCGAGAGTCCTTGGAGTGTCCCTTAAATGAAATTTTTCAGTTTCCCGTCATGTTTGCCGATGTTTAGCTTCGGGAAAAACCGATTCTTATACATATGTAGTGATGAGTTTACTAGGAAAAGAGTTATCCGAGATCAGACGTCGCTTACCTAATCGAAAAATCAGCTTACCATCAACACTAAGGATAGCTATACAAATTGTCAGGGTATGTTCGTTTTTTCGCTAGATGCGCCATGCATTTAGCTTTCATCCGGAATCGTGTATTCCTATGCCTTCATAGAAAAACATCATCGTCATACAACGGGCCCTTTCTGAACATCACCGATCCGTTCTCTTTTCCCGGTGAATCGATAATTTCAATCGACCGGCCTTTACAATGAACTTGCTGGGCCGACCCATATAAAAGGGGGCCAAAAAAAGAACCACTTTAGCCGAAGTCAACATATCCATAAAGTTTACGTCCCAGCCCAGACAAGACGTGGAATACCGTACCAAGGGCGGGGCTACCCAAGATGTTCCTTCGATAAGCAGAGCAGCGCCCTCGTTCACAGACACCTCATCTCACTAATATGAAGCCATTTTCCATCGCAGCCTGACTGGATAAAGACTATGGAATTTCACGTCACATCAACACTGGCCGAAACTTCTTGTATGGAGTCACCCATAGACAGCTACCTGGGAACCAACACTCTTGCTCTGGAAGACTTTCAACATCGAGCAGCTCCGACAACGTCGCTACGGTCCAGGATATCATCTTCATCGCCAGATCGCGGGTTGATGGTGTGTACAGGAAGTTCCTGAAGTGGGAAGACCGGACTGAAAGTGAACGCTGACGCTTACATCGAACAGCACATTGGAGAATATCCCTGACTTCATGTCGTCCTGCTCCCATCCTCTCAAAAGTTGTTCTCGCCACAGGATTGAGTGCCAGCAACACTGGAATCAGAAGGGCAGTTGGAAAACTTTCGCCTACTTGGAATCGAAGGGCGTTAAGTACCTGAAAAAGACGGAATATTCGAGTGTGTCACCTGACCTAAACCTTCTCAATTACCGGGTTCGAGCGACGTCGAACCGCGGAGTGGTGTAGCAAGTGCGGAGAAATCAACGACCGTAGAGTATTCAATTTGAGAAGTGATATAGGGTGTGCGACGGGAATATTTTTGGTGGTGACAGAAATTGATACCTACTGATAAGAGTTGGAGGCCTTAATAAGGCAAATGCTCAGCAAATTATTCATGAACTACCGGCCGGTCAACAGCAAACGATGGAATGTGGTCCTAGCAAATAATATAGGGGACTGGAAGTGAACTATCATTGGATGAGGTGGCAGGAAAGTGACAACAGCGTGAGCAGAGGGGCCTTAAAAGGGGGGGGGTTACGCGCAGAACCATAAATCGCTTCACAGCAACGGTGGAATGTGGTTCCAAGAAGTGATATAGGAGACTGGACGTGACCATCATTGATGGATGGCAGGAAATGATAAACAGCTGATGATACCATACGATCCTTTTTGAAGAAGGAAGCCCGCCCGAAATTCATCACCCTAAGGTTGTAGCAGCCAGTGCGGAACTGCTATCGCCACAATTAATTTAGGGATGGCCAGGGAACCATTGGTTGTGGAGACAGGTTTTCGATGTATGTCCGGCGATAAAGGATTTCAAAAGTTGTTGTTCGCTGAATCTTACCCACCTCCTTGCGACTGAATCGGACCCAACCTTAGCTCATGAATCATGAGCAACTTTCAGTGAGTCAACATGTTTATATCCTTTAGTGATGTAGTCTAAACCATTTGACCGCTAAAGTCTTGAGTTTCGACCAAAAGGTCCAGAGGTATGTTGATCTCTGAGAAATGCGAACCCAACATTCTTGGGTTGCATGTGCCATAAAGCAGTTCGAGAAGGCAATTCTTGGCGACATGACAACGCTACGCCCACGTGGGCAAGGCCCACGGCTTTTCACGCCAAACAAACGTCAAGCTCATGTTCGAGGGGTCAGTACAAGTTGTGAAATCGACACTTCAATCAACACTATGAAGGATCGCAAAAGGGGAATAGTGGTGACTCAGGGGTCCAGTCTGGAGGAGCAAAGACGCTAATCCTGCACTGGAAGCAAAAAGGGGGTTCATCCGTGACTGCACTTTGTAGCCTGCACTAGCGACTATCATCGTCTCAAAGGACAAGGAAAGTATGGATATCGATCTAAGCGTCTTCCAGCGCCCACCAGCGTCCGCCAGCGTCTAGAAATACGGTAGTGTCTGGCAGTACGTGGGTATTCACTCATGGTCGCTGACGGACGCTGGCAGACGCTTGATCGATATCCCTACTTTCGTAGTCCCTCCAAACGCTGAAGGTCGCTGGTGGTCGTTGGTGGACGCTGGTAGATGCTGCCATGCGCTAGATTGATTTTTATACTTTCCTGGTGAATATGGGCCTTGAATTGCTGATGGTCGCTCGTGGACACCGGTGGTCGCTGGTGACGCCGCCGCAAAGTATGAACAAAGCCTAAAGCTAACATCTAAAGACTGCAAGCGGCGTGACTTCGAGAAAAAGGAAGCACAGACGCATTACGTACTACAAAAGAAGAGGGTGAGCTTGCAACGTGTACGTGCCACTCCTCTTGTTGCCCTCCGATACGAACGATACGTTCTGAGCGCATGTGTTGGAAGCCTGTCATTAACACTTTTTCACTTCATCGTTTTATCATTAGGCTCTCCAAGACCTTCACGAAGCTGGATTTATTCATCGCGATGTGAAACCGAGCAATTTAGCGATGGGTCTCTATAATACGCAGGTACATATTTCCTTCAATACGTTGAAGTTGTGGAGGGAGAGGGAAAAGGTCATGATTCTAAAGCAACAAGGCGAACGGAAAACTTCCCCATGACTCCTCAGATCACCTAACTTTACTTGGTTTGCGAAAAAGGTTGATCCAGTGATTCAGTTCAGTTTTGAATTGTTTCTTTTGGAAACAACTTCAATTTGTTCTTCTGACAGACAGGGCCTTATCTTAATCGCCTGCATACAACTGTGGTACAGTACTATCCTCACAGGGACTGATGGTAAGAAAGGGCAGAGCCACTCTTGAGGAACCATTTTTCAAGTTGATGCTCACTTACAGACGACGCTCACGTCCGTGGGTCCTGGTCCTTGCTATGAGCGAGATGAGTAGGTCCGCAGCTGCAGTAGCGTGCCACTTTTTTCTCTCTCATGTGCACGGAAACGGGGCTCTAGGCACCCTGGCGCCGTCTCCATGCTCCGCCGGCACGGCCAGCTACACGCCTAATCATGGCCAAACCCGCTACTTTTCTGTGCCTTCTCACCCCTGGTTGTTCTCTACTGTTGGTAGTGAGTTTCACTGCGGGACCGCAGGTATCGACGCAAGTGCTGCGCATTACGGATAGTCTGGTAGAGTATGGAGACGGCACCAGGGAAATCACTAAGGCTATCCTACCCTTCAAATGCTCTCGTACACTTTTGAGCAGAGGCTACTGCACTTGTGGACACATTCACCTCGTACATGAAGACCATGCTCGAAGGCAGTTCGTCTTCAAGGTATAAGCACGAGGTCGCAAGACTGCTGACTGTAAGAGGCGTGAACGTAGTTACGGTATACTAATACAAATGACGTGTTTTGAGGCACAGTTACGAGCAGGTGATACCCAAAGAATAAGCGCTCAGTCCTCTTTCCATAGCACCCATTATGGTGTTTGTCCGTCTAGTCTCATCACTTCGCAAAAGCTTACAGTGTTACTCCTGTTACCGTATGCGTTACACAATCGCTCAATTCGCGAAATCAACGGTTATGTGGTTTTTAGGTAGGTCTACGTGTTTGATTTATTCGGATTGGCTAGCGTCAAATACTAATCCAGGAGAAGGCGGTCGAATAAAATTAGCGAGCGCCGAGAAAACAAAGGTAACCGGAAAACAAGATTCTGTTTCTCTTCAGATAGCAACTTCTCCTTCTTTGTGAAGCGACGAAGACAATCGCAATGTTCTTAAACTTGTTGGCGATTCTTGTGACCACTAACATTGATCGCCTCTTCGGTGTTTTCCTGCTAAGAAGACGGGATACATTGAGGAGGGGGATAGCGATCTGTCAAGCCGGACGCGCATTTCCACCAGAATTTGCGCGGGTGCGCCAATGATCCGCGGCCATTTGATCAACAACTGTACACTTACCTCCGAAGATGGCCCTTCCCATGTGCGAGACGAATGGATTCCCAGTTGCTGTAGCGTGCCACTTGCTTCGCTCAGAGAATTGAAGGGGAATGGGACTTGAGGTGATAGCACGTGCACTGACCTCCGGCCACAGGCGCAATACGAAACTCGGCGTAGAGACCAATGCAGAACGTGAGAGAAGCGCAGTAAGTATTCGATCAAGCATGTGGGCTGGACGCGTCAGCGGACAGCGCGGGTGAAGTATATGAGGGCGGCGTTGCGGTAACAATTCGCTAGCAACGTCCATTCCATTCATTTTTGACAGTAAATCGCATAAGCAGGCTACTGTACCGCATACGCCGTTCCGGCCCGCAATAAGGGAGGGACATAGGAATCACGCGGGTGAGTTAAATAGTCGAAACATGGTGGGATGTGGTAGGAAGTGAGCAAGACTTAAGATGGAAAGATGGATGTAGCCATGGGAAAGATGGCGCAGTTTGTCGACGGAGGGGGCATTTTGCACTTTCGCTACTTCCCATCGACGTGTCGACCTATCTAGGCAGCCTCTTCTCGAGTTGACAGGTTTTACCATGATGGCTAGATGAGCTTGCTCCAGCTTCACAAGAGTTCACAGGTTTCGCCAGAGTGAGACTTGTAAACCGGAACTAGGGAAGCAATGATAGTACAAAATCCCCCTCCCCTCCCCCTCCTCCGTCGTCAAACAGCGCTGCACTCAACTCACCGCCTACTGTTGTTTGATCAATTGCGTTCAAATATAACGGTCGTTTAACAATGGCTTTTGTGTTTGCAACACTTGCTTGATTTGGCTATAAAAGGGTTTCCATTATCCCATCATGATTGCGTCAGGTTATGTTCCGTGGAACGGTTCGATATTGTTCGTTGAATGTGCATCAATATAAAGAACAGGGACGTCATGATGATTTGTAAGTGCATTTCTATATTGAAAAATATGCGAACAGTCAGGGGAGGGGAAAC